ACGCAAGCCGCCTGCTGAAGTGCAGTGATACCCACCCCTTTGCCGTAGCATTCAGGGGGGTTAGCGCTTTTGCAGCAGGTTTCCAGTAATTCCTGGTAGCCTTTCCCAACTCTTAAAAGCATCTGAACAGAGAACTCAGGGTGTCGTCTTGAATATTCGTAGACAAATCTGTAACACATGGAAGAGATCAGCATTAGCAAGTAGGGCCCATCAAAGATGTATAGATTTTTAAAGGCTAAATGGTCCCCATTACTGTAATGTAATCTGACCCCCCTGCAGAACACAGGCCATCGCCTTCCACCTGGTGAGTCTAGACCAATAACTCGTAGCTGAACTATCCCACATTTCTCTGACCAATTCCTGCCTTTCGCCCCATCCAATGCCAGCTTATTATCATCAGCTCAGATCGGTTAAAGCATAAAAACAGTGAATATTGATGATAAGCTGCTTTTTTTGTCTCAGGATTCAATTAGCCAGTATGGCTGAAGATATATTTTTTAATGTATTTGATTAAATACAATAGGTTAAGTTAGAAGCCGTTAATGAATAATTTGGCCCTATTCTAGCACAGGATTAATGTATAATTTGTGGCCACTGACCATAAATGCTGACTTTCTTTCTTGCTTGCTTGTAAAGATGCGCTATTTATTTATTTGTTTGTTAGTTTGTTTGTTTGTTTTGGTAGGCAGTTATTGATCCTGCTCCTGCTTAGGTGCTGAGCACCTCTTGTTCCAGTAAAGTAAACTGTCTGTTCCTTGAACTGGTTGAGAAATATATTCTATTGCAAATGAAAATTTTGAAAAAGAAGATTTTTTTTCAATATGGGCTAATTTTTTGCTATGAGATTTTTTTTCAAATGTTCATAACAAATAAAACATTTTTGGATTTTGAAAACATTAAAAAGGCTTTTCCGTTTTTTAGTTGGGGGATTAAAAACTGAAAAACTGTGGAGAAAGTTGAAAATGATAGTTTTCATCAAAAAGCGGGTTAAAGAAATTTCTAACTGCTCTAACTATAAAACATTTTAAAAATGCATAGCTTAGCTTTAGCCATTTTGTATCACATTTAAGTGCTAGTGAAATTATTTCAAACAAAGGAGCTAAGTCCTCAGATGTTGCATATGGTGTAATTCAAGTGACATAATCGGTTTATACTAACCAAGTCTTTGGTCCAGAAGATATGTTGGCTACCATTTTCAAAACTAAAGCATTGTATTTCACTGTTGATCTAAACAGTGTTTGGGTATAATTTTGAATATGATCATGCTTCCATTAATGCCAATGAAAATGTTGATAGTGATTACAATGGGAGTAGATTCAAAGCCAGAATCTGACTAAAGTAGACATGCTTCAATAAAATTTGGGTTGCTTTAGGCATGTTCAACTTTATGGTTGAATCATAAACTGGGACTGGAAAGGACAGCACCAGAAACTAGAGATTTTTTACTCTGTTCTTGGACATGCTGTACCAACCCAAATAGCAGAACACTCATGAAATCAGATGTTCCACATTTGCTCCCATTCTACCCATTCTCAATTTCAGCAGCATTGGAGGATTTGTTTTTTGTTTGGGGTTTTTTTGCCTTTTGCTAAAGCAGAAATCTGTAGGTGCATGACTGTACTTGCAAACCTGAGTAAAACCAAATATCTCAGTGTTTGTATTTATGCTAATTTTTATGAGTTTTTAAGTGTTCTATTAAGCCCTTTTCAGAGACAAAAGTAACATCATATTTCAATTACTGGATGATGGAATTGTAATACTAGGAGAAGAGCAGATCTTTCATTGATCAAGGCTTATTGATGCATTAATAAAAACCAATGACAAATGTAAAGGCAAATAAAATAAAGGCAAACCCCACTGAAAATTAGGTCTACTATTTTTTTGTATTTGCTTGCAATAATCCTACTCAATGCCTAAACCAGACTTAGGCTATGTCTACACTACAGCGTTTTTCCGGGATACCAGAAGTATCCCAGAAAAACTCTGCTGCATCCAAGGAAAATGTCTGCTCCTCCAAATTTTTTTACAGATGAGCAGACGTGGTTTTTCAGCATCCCTGTAAACCTCATTTCATGAGGAAGAAGGAATGTGCTGAAAAAAAGGGTTCGCAATTTGCGTACCTTTTTCCAGAAAAAAAAACGCAGTCTAGACACAGCCTTAATGAGTTAAGACAGGGGCTTTTACTTTGACTTCATTCCCACACACTGGCTTAGCTCACAAGTCTGTGTTCTGCAAGCAAAGTTTTGGCTTCTAAATCATGGTGCTGGGCTTGCAATGCTTAAATGACAAAGCTACATCAGAGCGCTGCATTACTTGGCCAGGTAGGCATCCTGTTCCTTGGCAAAGTGGTCGCACACATCTTTGTCTTCTATGAACTCTCTGACTGTGGGAGACAAGTCTGCAGGTTTGTCATCATTGTCCAACTGAATGATACATGCACTTCGTTCCACCAGTGGCTTGTCGCAGCAGTCTTTGAGTTTGCTTGATATGGCATCTTGATGGGAACAGACATAATCTGTCAACTCTACCTGTAAAATGTTTTTAAAAAAGCACTTATATTTGGTTGTTCTCATTCTTTGGCAGTGGGAAATCCCTCCTTCAATTACAATTTTTAATACAATGGAGCCTGGACAATTCCCCAGCTGAGATAAGGGGCCCCTTAATTTCTGCCTACCAGCTGTTGCACAGTGTTTTTCATCTGAACATCTCAAGGTGTTTTTTTAAGGGGATTGGTTTTAATTAGTATTTTTATCCTTATTTTACAGGTGGGAAACTGAATCATGAAGAGATTAAATGAATGCCCAAGGGCAGCGAGGGCACCAGCAGCAGTAGTGGGACTAGAACCTTAACCTTAAGGCTTAAGCCAAAGCTTTAACCATTAGGAAACATTGCCCTCCCCCACACCCATTGTACACAGAACTATATGTACCATAGTATGGGACAGTTTCAGACTTGAAGCTCTTAAAATAGGCAAGACAGACAAAGAGTGGAAGAAAGATGGAAGTAGAAGATACTTTGGAGGGATTTAGGTGCCTAACTCCCATGGGAAGTAAATATCTAGCTACCTTTGAAGATGTGGGAATGAGAGATTAAGTGATTTGCCCAAGGTTACACAAGAAGTTTTTGGCAGAGCCAGGAACTTAACCCAGTTTTCTGGAATTCCAGTCTACTGCTGTAGCCACAACCTCATCCTTGGCTCTTATGCTTTTTGCCTGTTTCACTGCAAACAGAGTCACATGGGATAATTTAGGAGGATGAAAAATTCTCATCTTTGTATCTATCTTTCAGGCTTTAAACACCTAATTTGGAAGACAGTTAACAGATGCACAGAAGATGAGCAAAAAGGAACAAAACTAGAAGGAAGAAGACCCACTTTTTTAAACCCAGAAGTGGTAAATAAGTTATTCTTTTACCCTTTCGTGCATACAATCCATCATGTCACCGTGGCAACACTCCGTGTGCATGTGAACAATATCTGTTACAAGTTTGTTAACGGTAACAAAATCAGTCTTGGGAAATTTTTGGCTGAGTTGAATAACTTTCCTAGAAAGAATGAATAAAAGTATTATTTTAAACTCAGAATTCAATACTATGATCTCTAGCAGTTTCTCAGAGTGAGATTTCACTCTCAGCAGTGGCCTGCCTCTGAAGTGAAGGATAAAACTGCAAGAGAATTCAGTGGTAAGGGAGTTTGGCCCTCAACTCCCATTGAACTTGAATAAAAGCCGGTCACATAATTCCCTTGCACCCCTTGGAAAATCTAAGACAATGGTGTTTTCGTGAGTACAAAGATGAAGCCATACATTCGTGAATCAGGCCTATAACTTGTACAGTTCTATCACAGAAACACTACTGTGGCTTTTTCAAAATAGTAGGGCTATTTTTTAAAATTGTACCAGCTGTCACCAAAGGGAGCTGGACTGGTGAACAGGAGAGGTATTTGGCCATTACTGTTAATCTAATTTTCCCCTAAAAGTTAATGTTTTAAGAAAATTGTGCATTTGCATTACTAATTTGCATTCCCAATTACACAGCTCACTGGTCCTCTGCATATAAAGGTCAGCGTGGTTGCATGTATAGTCACGGTAACTGTATGTTCAGGGCTGTACCTATTTTTGTGTAGCATTTGGCTGCTCATAAAGTTGGCTGCAAATCTGACCTTTAAATTCTGTTACAAAATGGGCTCAGGAATTAGAGTATATTTATTAGCTATAAGGCATTCAAAGCAGTAACACTGGGTCCCGGCTCTTTGCATCTATCAGTTTCCACCAAATGAATGTGCACAAAAATGGTGTATTGTGATCTAAATAATTTAGCTAGGGCCTGCAAAACAAAAGTTCTTTTGGCTTTCACTTTATAGAAACCTCCTTCATCTCTCTTTTGTTAACCTATAGAGTTGCCCATGGCTGCAGCCTACAGCTTTAACGCTTTATTCCACTGCCACCGTGAGGTGTGATGGGACGTATCAGGCTTTTTCAGGCCCCCTACTAGAATCCTCCCTGTGCTACCACACCCTGCTCCGGAAAAAGAGCAATAAAGGTGAGTCCTCCAGGCCTGTCTAGAAAGGCTGCAGAGAATCAGCCAATCACAGTCCAGCAAGCTGAGCTAAAAGGAGCTGCAGGGACTGAACAGCTCAGTTCCCTTGTGGGAACCAGAAAAAGCAAGGATGGGGCTTGTTGCAGGAGCTCAGGGGAGAATGAGAAGATGAGTTCTGGTGATGGAAGCATTCTGTGAGAAAGAACTTCCATCCTGAGGTAAGGGTGAAGGAGAAGTGGCCCAGGGAATAGCAGCAACTATTACAGGAAGAAGATGTGGATACTAGTTATAGGGTCCCTGGGTTGGGGTATTGGGAGGGACCTTGGAAGGAGTTTTAGTTGAGAGTGGTTGCTAAGAGAAAGCTCTACATCCTGGAGGCATGGGTACTCTAGAGGTGGAGCACCCATGGGTGAAAAATTAGTGGGTGCAGAGTACTCAAAATGTTGTACATTGCAAAAACAAGCTAGAGACTTACATAGCTTTTAAGGCTCTTTCTCCAAACTTCTTCAGGACCTCACATGTTTGTGCCTCAATCAAGCTACTTTCTTTCACTGGCTTCATCACAATTGGTGCCTGTTAAAAGATGAGGTCAACCATTTAAAAAAAAGTGCTGGTCAAATGAAGGAAGGAAACAGAATCAGAAAAATAATTTTAGTAGAAACATAAAAAGTTTTTTTTTCTTAGCTATAAAGTGTCCAACAAAGCAAAAGGATGCTGGGTTGCATTGTTTTCATTCACGTGGCAGGCTAACCAGCCCCTTATCTAGCTAGTTTTGTGAAATCCTGCCCATCAGAAACTCTCTTATTAAACAGTACTCAGTGTTTTTAAACTGTGCTGTTATGAATAGTCTGATCCAGGGAAAGACAATAATTTTTAATGGGGGCGGGGGGGAGAGCTACTCCAAAATTTTGGTAAGTGGTCAAGGGCAAAAATTTTCTATGGAGGGAGTGCAGGGTCTGTGGCAGAGGTTGGGTGCAGAAGAGAGCTCGAGGATAGGTATGGGGTAGAGGAGAGAATGTGGGGTCTGAGAAAGAGTTTTGGTGAAGGAGGGGGTCTGCAGTTCACAAAGCTTCCCCCATCCCTATCACAGAGAGGCAGATGGAGCAGCCAGCTGCTCTGAACTCTGGGACTGCTTTATTTGAAATAAAATCAAAATAAGATACACAATTTGAGTAAAGGCAAATTGCATACCTTATTTTGATTTTTAGAGTGCCGTGAATGTAGACATAGCCTAAGATGCAGACGTTCCATTAGTATGAAGGGCCTTGTCTAAATCCCCTATTCTGCTTTGAAAATCTCAGCCCCCAATCCTAAAATGGTGCCTCTGAAAATTGATTTATTTATTTATTTATTTATTTATTAGTGTCTCCTTAAGTGGGAGCTGCCAATGCTAAGCTGAAAATTGGACCATTTTCTTCAGTCAAAGGCCCAGGTTCAGGAAAGCACTTATGCACATGTTTAACTCCTGTCCTGAGTAGAGGTGCCTTCTGGAATCAGGTCCTAAATAAAGGCTTACAGGACTCAAATGGAAAAAGCTGGCCTTCAGCTCTGCTTCGAGACTTTCTCTAGCTACAGGGGCCCACTAATCAAAACCTGAAGTCGCTGTTCATATTAAGCTTGAATACCTTTTCACTGAAGCAGGCAGCCTTGTCTTCTGCTTGGCAGCAACCTTTCATCATCTCCTCGTATTGACCGGCAACGGTCAGAATCGTTGGGGAATAAAGGGAAGCATGCCTCCTGGACAGTTCGTAGATGAATCTAAAATTGAAAGGTACCTTGAATTAACTTTGTGTGGGAGCTCCCAGAACAGAGTCCAGACAGGGTGGAAAGTGTAATTATACTGCTCTGAAATGACTAAACATACAGCAAAGCTTGTTCTAACAGTCCACTCAGTCAGCGCCGTTTTCCTGCCATTCTAACAGGGAATGGGATAGTGCAATGAGACTTAACATGGGGGAATTCTGATGGGAAGGGGTGCTGGGATTTTACTGGAATTTAAGGAGTCAATTCTGCAGGGCGCTGAGTGCTCTAGGCCAGATCCAGCACCACACTTAAGCGCATGCTTAACTTTAGGCACCTATGATTTCAAGGAAACTTCACATATGCTCAAAGTTAAGTTCCAGTGTGTTGCTTGATCAAGCTAGCGTGGCTGGCACCTTGACTAAACTGGGAAAAGAAATATGGGCAGGGCTGGGGTGTTTATTTGCAGGGCCTATTCAAATGGAGTGCTGTGGCCTGGGCTACTGGTGGCTGCACACGGGGGCTTGGGGTTCCTGCTCTTTCCACATGGGGCTGTAGGGACTGCTCCCCCAGTGGTGTGAAGAGCTCCTAGACCAGCAACATAGGGGGTTGGACTGCCCAGAGCACCCTCACCACCAGCACCTGCAGCAGCCTCCTCCTCTACTCCTGCAGGTTGGGGACCACCACCACCATCCACAGCTTGAGGACACGCCTCAGGTAGGACACATTGCCTGGGTAGGCAGGGCCAATAATGAAGCACGGAGATGCATGCAGGGGAGTCTATTGCACACGCCCCCTGGCAGCCCTGAATATGGCAGTCTTGGGTGACTTGGTAGAAAGAGGCCTGATGAAGCTGCAAACTAGCTGTTCAGTAAATGGTTCCTGAAGTAGAAACCAGAGTAGAGGATGGGATTAGGTTCCCTACTGGCTTCAGGGGAAGAAGGCATACAAGCCCCTTGCAAGGGACATAGACAGTGCTGGAGACTAGCCCCAGATAAGGCAGAAAGCTTTTCTTTTTGTCAAGATGTTTCTGGGACTTTGCGTTTGGACAAATGTGACTCTGGAAAGATGGAACAAGATGGTGACTCATCTAGAGGGCCTAGATACTGTCAGAGGAATCACTGCAGGGGTGAGAGTAGGTGTAGTCTGCCAGCCCACAAGAAGACACCTAGCAGTAAGTTTACAGAGCTGAGAACCAGACTATATAACTCCTTCAATTCTAACATAAAATTAGCTTACTTACAGGCCCATAAGTCCTGCTCGATTATCATGATACTGTTTGCATCCCTCTTCAGGGTCTGGTTTTACTAAAGGAGCAATGAATCCTGGTGTAGAATTTTTGTGGGATAGAAAACATTCATTTCTTTCGGGGTCAGTTTTCGCACAGCAGTCAGCCAACCCATATTTCTCAGGAAGACCTTGCTCATGGCAGATTTCATCCAGGAAAATGGCAGTCTGTGGAAAGAAGAAATAATTCTGTTTGTCTGGAGTTGCCCTGTTCCTCTGATGGAACAAACATTTATACCAGGAACTATTAATAGAGCCCTGGCTCACATAAACTGATAGTTTTTCCTCTTATTCCTTTCTGCTTTGCCCTAAACTTGTAGGGAAGATTTATCAAAATCTAAATCTGTGCCTAACGTTCGTCTCCTAAATCCATGTTTATGCAACTAAACAAGTGGGATTTCCAATGTAATGAGAACCTAGCCACTCCCCCTGAGGTTCAGATACTATTCAAATTGTTACCCAAACCAAGATGGCGTGTTGCGTATTGTCATATCAAGTATGCCAAGATAGAAAGCAAGGTATGCCTGAGCATGTCTGATAAGAACCAAATCTCTCTGTAAAGCATCCTTCTCCTAGAGAGCTGGGATGCTCAGATCCAGGGTTTTGGTTCAGCCCATTAAAACAAATAGGAGGCATGTGCACAACTCAGATCCAGATCTGAGGCCGAAAACAAAATTTCAGGACTGTTTGGGTGCAGCATTTTTATCCAGACTCTCTCTGTCTCTGTCTCTGTCTGTCTCTCTCTCAGGGGTCTGGCCCACGAAATCTCATCACCTAATTAACCATCTTGTTAGTCTTTAAAGTGCTACATAGTCCTGTTTTTTGTCTCTGACAAAGTGAGATTGTTAAGGGTCAGTTGCTAAATAAATTAAGACTCCTTCCTTGCTGGTCGTGAGTGGCACCTGCTGCTACTAAATTTAGTTACAGTGATCTCAGATGCCCAATGTCAGTCTAACCAGACTTGCTTTTGAAGATACAGAACAGGATTTTTCAAGAGTGACCAATGATTTTGGAGGACTTCAGTTTTTCAGTGATTAGCTGGGGGGGGGGGCAACCTGCAGTCTGCACATCCCCTGTCTGCTTTTCGTGGAGGAGGGGGTAGTGCAGGGCTCCCAGGCCCCAGTGTGCGAGAGGTGCATGCAGGAAGAAGGTAGACGTGGGTGCACAGGCTGCAGGAGGAATCCCAGTTGGCCACAGGCTGCAGGTTGCCCACTACTGGTCATGCAGTCCACTGAGACAAAGGAGGGCCACTCATGTGGCCTATTCACTATTCTTGATCGCCCATCTCTGCCCTAAAATGAGTCTTATATTTAGAAAGTGCTGAGCGCTCATCCTCTGAAAATCAAGCCCCTCTGAGGCACTGAAAGTTGGATGTCTAAAATTGAAGCCCACCTAATCACTTCGTCGACATGCATCTGACAAAGTGGGTCTTTGCCCACAAAAGCTTATGCTCCAACACTTCAGTTAGTCTATAACGTGCCACAGGACTCCTCACCACTTTTGCACCTAATCACTAGTCACTCGTGAAAATCTCAGTCACTGTAGCAGTACATTCCCATTGTCTTGGCTGCAATGGAAGACCCAGCTTTGCTTACCAGTGGCTTCTGACATTGTGGATCTTCCTTACTGGCGACACATTTTTGTGCGAGATCAGTGACATCTTTTACCATTTTACTATCTTCTTCATAAGTGCTTTGCTGCACAAGCTGAGCAAACATGATCGTAGCACTGCAACGAAGATCATATGGTTACATGCATAGCTCTCTACCAAAACCAAAATGGAGTTCTTCAAGATGTGTGAGTGCCAACACTGAGCCAGAGGTCTGGCTCTGAGGCAGTCTGTTGAGCTGGCAGGGCTGGAGGACTGAGCTAACATAGAACCTGAGAGATGCAACTAAAGACAATTGTTCTTGACCCATGGTAAAGTCATTGTGGAGTCAGACTTACAATCATGGCTTTTCCATTATGTGGTGCTAACGTATAATGAGGCGCTATCTCAAACCTGAGGAGAATGGCAGAAGAAGCTCCGAAGGTGCTTTCATCCTGTATTGGGAAGGGAATGGGATTCTTGGAAGACTTGCTAAAACCTTTTTTGGAAAATTTTACTTTTCAGTGACCATGCTGAACCACTAAGGCAGTTTAAATGAGTTTGCCTTTCTGTGGTCAGGGAAGAGCTAATACATTGCAATAGAGATTTCCATTTTCCTTATGTGTCCATTCCCAAATCAGCCTCTTAAGGTCATATTAGTTGTACATTACATTTAGCATTTCTTTCTCTCTGATCATTACGGTCATTTGTATGATCCTTTCCTCCTACTTTTTGTCTGTCGTCTCCCCTCCGCCCTTTGAAATGTAAATCCTCTGGTACAAGAACAAAAATTCCAAAGTGAGGAGGCAACCAAACTACACCAAGACTCCTGAAGTAACAGAAAACTGATAGCAGGAAAACCCACCCCTGGCATCAGCCTCACCAATGATCCACACTCATTCCCAGTCCAGGCAAAAAATCCTGAGCAGACTACCGATATATCTTATTGGTATGATGTTTTCTTGATCCCAGATTTGGCAGCCAGCTTAACTCTCTTAGTAAGAACTATCAGTGTTGAGCACCTACACCTACTTAACTATGACTCGTGATGAACTCCCAAATGTGGATTCTATTATAAAAATGCCCTTAAGTCTCAAACTGAGAAACACAGAGAAGGTGAAACTGTGTGACTGTGTTCATAAAGTTTCCAAAGAGAAGAATTTTCTACGTTTTTATTTTGATAGAGCATGAGCTGTATTTCATAAGGTATCTGTAGCTATAAAAACTATATCTACACTGCTTGGAGGAAACAAAAGCTTGTCAGAGCTCGGTCTTTCCCCGTCCCTATGTTGTGTAGGCAGAAGAGGTCTGCATTGCAGAGAACTGTCTCCAATGGGAAGTTTTCAGCCTTTCCGCAATAATTCCTGGTGGGAAAAGTCACCAGACAGCAGTAAGGGCAGGGAAGACATGTTGGCAGGATTGCTCACAAATGGCATGGGTGTCCAAGCCATCTTTGAAAGCAATGTATTGTGCTTTGCCAACACATTATTCTCTTTGAACTTGACAAAATCTAAGTCCCCTGCAGTGGTTTTGATCTTGGCTGGTCTCTAGCTGCCTGTTTCCTCTTCACCAGAAATATTCTCTTCTTTTAGAACTCTAGTTACTTCAAACTGCAATGATAGAAGGATCTCTTGGAGGTGAATTTATGAACCAGTGGGGATAATGGGTGGCTAATACTAAGAGCTAGACAGTGCTATTAGGCTGGTGTGCGAGATGTCCCGTCACAACAATAACCCTAGGAGGCATTGTAATTCATCAACAGCTCTTGGGTTGTAAGTTCTCCCATAATCCTTTCCTCCAGAGGGACAGCAATCCTCCTTTATGGCAGCCCACTGAAGCATGCAAGCCTTTCATTTGGGGGAAGGGTGCAATTGTTTGTCATTCTGCCCACTCTGTTTCTCTCACGCACATACTCTGTCTCTGTCTGTCTCTGCTGATTCTACCTGAGGACTAGTAGGTGCTTAGGGCCCTTTGGCACCTGCATATCCATAAGCAAGATCTGTCAGAGTAGTCTGCAGAGAGCTGTAATAAAAAATGAGGCAATAAGAATCACCCAACAGGTGAGAGCAAAGTCCAAGTCTCACTTTATTCAATTGTCACTCTGACTTATTTTGTTGCTTTGAAGATCTATTTTTATTCTGCCAATATTTTTAAAAAGGACTTTTCAGTATCTGGCTCTTTAGTACTCTCCGTCACAGGAGATATTTAAGAGCAGGTTGGATAGACATCTATCAGGGATGATCTAAAAGGTATTGGGTCCTGCCGTGGGGGCAGGAGACTGAACCTGATGACCTCTCGAGGTTCCTTCCAGTTCTAGAATTCTATGATTCCTGTTTCGGAATCAGATAAAAACACACTGTAAGGATCCACTTTCAGCTGGATTTTTAGCCATCACACTTACACAGCTTTAAAGGTGTCCTCGTGTAGCTCAGTAAAACAGTGTCCAATGGTGTGGTGTTCATCTGGAAAAAAAGGTAATCTGGTCTTTGAATCCCCAAATATTAAAGGCATTTATATTTTATTAAGCATTTTCTTGCTCTCTAAGGAAGGGTGGTTGAATGGTTAGCATGCTATCCTTACGACTTGGGATTTCTTTATGCATCTTCATGACTTCAATAAGTAGAACATAGATAGCTCAGAAGCTGGAGCTATCCAGACTGTTTCTCTGCTATCTTGGTCGTCTTATATTGGTCCTGACCCTGTTCAAAGACTTCATGATTTAGTTAGGGTTGGTCCTGCTTTGGGCAGCGGGCTGGACTCGATTTCCTGAACTCTCTTTCAGCCTTAGGATTCTATGATTCTGTAACTCTGGGTCTTGCAAGTCCATCTCTGGTCTGCCACAGCTTTCCTGTGACCAAGGACAGCTCTGCTTCTGTTCCCCATTTGGGTGACAGGGACAACAGCAATTCCTCACCTTACATGGTTGTGGTGATGCGGCTAAATATACTAACAATTAAGTGCTCTGATAATTTGGTAAAGGCAGGCCACGTACTTTCTGTCTCAGGGTATGTCTACACTTGCCCCCTAATTTGGACGAGGGAGGCAAATAAAGCATACCAAAGTTGCTAATGAAGTGCGGGATTTAAATATCCTGCGCTTGATTAGCATATTCGCAGGCGGTTGCCATTTTAAAATGCCGGTCGCCCGAATTAACTCGCCACGTGTAGACGCGGTAGTCCGATCCAAAACCCTCCCCTCAAATTAACTGTTACTCCTCATTGCATGAGGAGTAACAGTTAATTCAAGGGAAGGGTTTTGAATCAGACTACCGTGTCTACATGTGGTGAGTTAATTTGGGCGACCGACTTTTTTAAATGGCAACTGGCCGCGAATATGCTAATCAAGCGTGGGATATTTAAATCCCGTGCTTCATTAGCAACTTTGGTATGCTTCATTTGCCTCCCTCATCCAAATTAGGGGGCAAGTGTAGACATACCCTCAGGCAGTATCTTAAAACTTAAAGGAGTCTTAGATCACTAGCTTGTTTGAGTTAATTAGGGGTCATATAGTTAGTTAAAATCAGCACTGCGTGAGTGGCTAAAACTGTTTGAAATGAATGGAATTCACCCTCATACACAGAGTGAATTTGGCCCAGTGAAACAAAGTAGGTCTTAGTGGTTGAAGACTGCATACAACTTTTTTCCCCCTTTCTAATGGGCCCAATCTTGGACATAGTGAAGGCAATGATTCAACTGCACAAGAACAAAATAAATGATTCTCTGATAATTTAGCAATGGGATGAAAATCTCTATTTGCCCATTGGCATTTGAGGAAACCAGACTTTCAACCAGAAATCTGAAGAATGACTTATTTTCCTAGCAATCTTCCTAAGTTCCTACTAGGTACTTTTAAATACAGAGGACCTGCCTCTCCACTGCCTAGCATCCTGTATAGTTATTTACATCTGTCCAAGGTGAGTGTAAAAGGCTACCAAACCATAATGAAGTCTTTGAAAAGGGTCAGGACCAATATAAGACCAAGGTAGCAGAGAGACAGTCTGGATGGCTCCAGCTTCTGAGCCATCTATGCTCTTCTTACTGAAGTCATGAAGATGCATAAAGAAATCCCACTCTATAGAATGTCTTAAGATAAAGCACAGTAAGTAGCTCCCAAGATGAAAGTACAATCAACATGAGTATGGTGAAACTCTGTGTTTAAAACTGTATTACATATTGTACACCTGTAAATATTCTAAGGTCCCATATATTACATGCATACTCATAGCATTAATAAGCCACAAATGAGTGATCATGTGAAATTGGAAAAAGGTGGCGCAGAATTCTAGATTTTAAATAGTAAGGGCAAGATTCTGCCACCTTCACTCACTGAAACCAAATCTACTGCTACTAATAAATTTAAGCAAGGATGGCAGAATTGGGCCCTAAATATTCACTCAATTTGTTCTTCAAAACATTTTTTAAAAACTCTAGATAGTAGCTAATATAATACTAAGACTCTTAACTGAGCACTGTTAGTAAAGTGCCAGTTACTTGCATGAAAAGGTGAACATGATTTGGCTTGCAAAGAGACTGGTGTACTGCTGAATGTGACTTAGAACATTCAGCGTTTTCTAAACCATGTTCACAAATCCAGTAGGTAATCAATGCTGTTGTATTTGCAATATAGTAGCCTATTTTGAAAAGTCAGCTTTACCATGTGCTTTTAATCTTGTTCCTGTGAAGTTAGAGCCATTTTATAATTGTGATATAATATTCATATGTATCCTTTATAACTTTTTCTTTTTTTTACACTTTTTGGTTTAGAATGAACAATGACTATGAGATTCCTCCAATGACCACAACCAATCGTGTGTGGACACTATATGAAAGTTTATAGTTAAGGTACAAGAAATATTCTTACCTACATCCCGATATCTTCTGGGAAGGGTTTTTGATTCAGTAAAAATTACCAGGAAAATAAAAGAAATGAATGTTCCCCACTTCATGGTGTCAGATTGGGGGGGGCTCGAATGTATGTGAAAAGTAGAAAGAGAGAAGAGAAAAGTGCTTCTTTTATACCCCTTTTCAAGTAATGTCTGGTTAATGAGAACCCTTTTGCTGTCGTATATGACATTGGAACTTCTGGAATATTCCTGCTAATAATTAAATAGATAAAATTATTTGCTCATTATGTTTGTTAACTGGACATCTTGTCGCAAAAAGGCCTTGTAAATTCATTAGTCTTCAGAATTTTGACAAATAGACTTTTGTAAATTACCTTATCACACTACAAACAAGATATTTAAACAAACTACTTTTTTCATGACCATGTTTTTTTTAGCTCAAATACAGACTCATCCACTTCCAGCAGTATTTGTTCAGAGGTGAACTGTTCAGCTAGAAGTGCATAGGTCGAGTGAAAGACCCTGGGTTCAGAAGTGGACTTGCAACTCCTATTTTCTAGGTTGCTGAACAAGCTCTCTTACCCCAGATAGGTGCCACGGTGGTGGGGGAAAAACTGGAATAAGGTATCATGTAAGCTAGGAGATCTGCAAAGTTGTTGATTCCCATGAGAACAGACACAAACTTGAGAATCTCTCCCAGAGCTTGAAACAAACCTGATCTGAGGTCTGTAGAATGAAGGAGGAAATTCAAAAAAAAAAAAACCCCTCTTATTTTAGTGACTCCAGTTTCATTTATTCATGCTACAGTGGGCACCATTAAAAAATAAAATGAGGAATGGTGTAATGTACCATTAAAGTGGTACTAATCTCTAAAGCGAAGCTGTAAGACGAAGAGAGAGCCTAGGTTTCAGGACTGTTTTCAAGTCTTCTAGTTAAATTTTTCATTCCATGATAGTAGAAACCAGATATATCAGAATTTGACTGACACTGAACCAACACAAAGCAGAAAAGAGCGCACCAAAATCAAGTCCTCCCTAAGCCTTTCCATTTGAGGAGCCCATAGAATCCCTGGAGAGAAAGGGAAACATCTTCAGTTGCTGATGAGTAGGGTCTTAACAAATTCATGGTCCATTTTAGTCAATATCACAGTCGTAGGATTTTTTAAATGGTAAATTTCATTATTTGAGCAGTTTAAATCTGAAATGTCATGGTGTTGTAATGGGGGGGAGGAGGCTCTGATACAAAATGGAGTTGTGTGTGTGGGGGGAGAGGTGTCTCAAGGTTATTGTAAGGGGATTGTGGTATTGTTACCCTTACTCCTGCTCCGTTGCTGGCAGTAGCATTGCCTTCAGAGCTGGGCAGCTAGAGAGTGGTGGCTGCTGGCAGGGAACTGACCTCTGAAGGTAGAGCTACCACCAGCAGCAGCATAGAAGTACAGATGGCATGGTAAGAGGTTGTACCCCTTACTTCTGCAGGGCTGGGCCCTCAGTCAGCAGCCGCTACTCTTGAGCCACCCAGCTCTGAAGGCAGCAGTACAAAAGTAAAGGTGACATGCGCATGGCATTGCTACCCTTACTGCTGCTGGTGGGGTGCTGCTTTCAGAGCTGGGCACCCAGCCAACATTCCAACCCCCTCTCCCAGTTGCCTAGCTCTGAGGGTAGCACAGAAATAAGACTGACAATACCATGACCCTCCTAAAATAACCTTGTGATCCCCCTGTACCTTCCTTTTGGGTCAGGACTCCGAATTTGAGAGTCCTTAGTGACCCCTGTGAAATCTGAATAGTACAGCGCAAAAGCAGGCAAAGGGCCAGATGTTACACAAGGACACCAGATTTCACAGTCCATGACAAGTTTTGCATGGCTCTGAATTTGATAGGGCCCTGCTAATGAGCAATGAAGCATCTCTCATGGGGGTGGAGTAACAGCTCACTAGTTTAAGCTGCAAGTATTTATAAATCATTCACTTTTATTCAGGAAGGAGGCAAACTTAAAACAGCTGAGCATTTATTCATTTTTTTTGAATGAACAAATGGTGGGCTTTTTATCAGAAGGTGCAGAGATCCACAGAACCTGCAGGCCCCTCTATAACCAACCAGAGCACTGGCTTACGGGTTTAATCAAGAAAAACACTTAGGCTACGTCTAGATTGCATCTTTTTCGTAAAAGGGATGCAAATTAGATGTATCGCAATTGCTAATGAAGCAGGGATTTAAATCTCCCCCGCTCCATTAGCATAAAAATGGCTGCCGCGTTTTTTCGGCACAGAGCTTTGCCGGAAAAAAGCACCAGTCTAGACGCGGATCTTTTGGAAAATAAAGCCTTTTCCGAAAGATCCCTTATCCCTCTTAAAATAAGGGATCTTTCGGAAAAGGCTTTATTTTCCGAAAGATCCGCGTCTAGACTGGCGTTTTTTTCCGGCAAAGCTCCATGCCGAAAAAAAGCGGCAGCCATTTTTATTCTAATGAAGCGGGGGACATTTAAATCCCTGCTTCATTAGCAATTGCGATACGTCTAATTTGCATCCCTTTTACGAAAAAGGGATGCAATCTAGACGTAGCCATAGATGGTAACATGGCAGTGGGCATTTTAAACAAGGAAATAAATCAGACTACAATGTTTTTGAAACTGAGAGGGTATCACTGTCATATCAGCATCAGTCTCTCAAAACATAAGTCACCCAGTAAGAATCAGTGGAAGCATGGCACAAGAAGTAGCAAATAGGAAAAATTCCACAGCGAAAAGGAAACAGCATTTAAAATGTACATCTTAAGAGCACTGAGGCCTCTGGGGATAGGCCAGCTGAGGATTACCCACCCAGTGGACGCATGCGCAGGAAACATAAGGAAACGGGCGACATCTCTTAATGCAGAGGAACTAAAAACAAGTTGGAATCATGCGAGACTAGGAAGCCCCAACTCAAAAATGCACAACATCAGGGCTGTCCTTAGGACTTATGGGGCTGTAATCAATATTGTTAAATGGGTGTCACTATGCCCAGTGGTAGCTGGGCGTGGGGTGATTTTATTTTTTTAAGAGATGTGATTTTTATAATCATCAAGCAACGCACTAATGATATATTTTTAAAGCTAATTTTAAACTAAGATTCTGTAGACTAACAGTAAATTAAAAATATATTATGTGTATATACTAGGTGTTGGCCATGGGCCTCCAGCCCTACCCCCAGCCCCTCCCTTTTTACCCAGGCCCCACCTTTCCTCCGCCTGGCACATGGCCCCATCCTCCCTGGCCCCAGAGCACAGGAAGGGCGAGCGCACAGGGGCAGCAACACTCCACGTCCAGTGCACCTACAGTAGATAGAATCATAGGACTGGAAGGGACCTCGAGAGGTCATCGAGCCGAGCCCCCCGCCCTCAAGGCAGGACCAAGCTCCGTCTACACCATCCCTGACAGATGTCTATTTAACCTGTTCTTAAATATCTCCAGAGAGGGAGATTCCACCACCTCCCTTGGCAATTTATTCCAATATTTGACCACCCTGACAGTTAGGAATTTTTTTCCTAATGTCTAATCTAAACCTCCCCTGCTGCACTTTAAGCCCATTACTCCTTGTTCTATCCTCAGAAACCAAGAGGAACACATTTTCTCCTTCCTCCTTGTGACACCCTTTTAGATATTTGAAAACCACTATCATGTCCCCCTTCAATCTCCTTTTTCCAAACTAAACAAGCCCAGTTCATGAAGCCTGGCTTCATAGGTCATGTTCTCTAGACCTTTAATCATTCTTGTTGCTCTTCTCTGGACCCTTTCCAATTTCTCCACATCTTTCTTGAAATGTGGTGCCCAGAACTGGACACAGTACTCCAGCTGAGGCCTAACTAGTGCAGAGTAGAGCGGCAGAATAACTTCATGAGTTTTGCTTACAACACACCTGTTGATACAACCTAGAATCATATTTGCTTTTTTTGCAACAGCATCACACTTTTGACTCATATACAACTTGTGGTCCACTATGACTCCTAGATCCCTTTCCGCCATGCTCCTTCCTAGACAGTCGCTTCCCATCTTGTATGTATGGAACTGATTGTTCCTTCCTAAGTGTAGCACTTTGCATTTCTCTTTATTAAACTTCTGATTAACTTTATTAAACGTCTGACCATTTCTCTAATTTGCTAAGGTCATTTTGAATTACGTGAGGAGGGAGAAGCAGTAACAGGAAACTTGGAAATGGCAGAGATGCTCAATGACTTCTTTGTTTTGGTCTTCACCGAGAAGTCTGGAGGTGTGCCTAACGTAATGAATACAAGCAGAGAGAGGGTAAGTTTAGAAGATAGCATACACAAAGAACAAGTTAAAAATCACTTAGGAAAGTTAGATGTCAGCAAGTCACCAGGTCCTGATGAAATGCATCCCAGGATACTCAAGGAGCTGATAGAGGAGGTATCTGAGCCTTTAGCTATGATCTTTGACAAAAATGGCCCTCTAAGCAAGTGTAGGAGTGTTTAATTTTGGCACCCTGGGTTTGAGCAATTACAGTTACTCTTCTTGTAGCTGGGGGAAGGTATATTTCACTCTTACACTGGAGTGCTGCATTGTTCTGTACTGCTTAGACTGCTGCTTTAAATCGGAGGTGATTGTATTTCCACAGAAGAGTGAAATGAACCCTGTACCCAGAACAAACAAGTTTAACCTAAATGTTTCAATAACCAAGTTCAACTCCATGGATTCAAGGACATGTGAAATCTTTGGGAAGGGCAGTTTGAATAAGTCAGGGAACAGTATCCCACGCAGTCGGTAAACATGCATGAGTTGGTGAATGAAAGGCGTTTTTGTATGTATCACACACAGTTAAAATGGTGAATATTGTTATGCCAGGTCTGTAAACCTAAATCCTATTTTTAATGTATAAAGAGCTGTAGACAATTTTCTCATTCTTTGGCAGCATAAAGATCTATTATACTGTTTAGACAATGTTACCAGCCATCACCATTCTCTAACAAATCACCAAATTAAAAACAAGAAGTAGGCAAGAGGAGGAATTAACTCCCATCTGTTATACTTCAAGCCACTCTCAATTTTGCCTTCCCCCTCCCCAAAAATGTCTTTTTAGCACTGTAGAATTTCCTGTAGCAATATGACTTCATTCTGAAAGATGCTGTGCACTCATCAGTACCCACCAAAGGTGCTGATTTAGGAAAACATCGCTAGACTATACTGCTTTTAAGCACATGCTTAGCTTTAAACGTGTACTTAAGTCCCATTCAAGGCAATGGGACTTCTGTCAAAGCTCAGTCAAGCATGAATTTAAATACTCCTCTAAATCAGGGCTGACGTCAGAGTTGGAAATGCCTCATTCCTTTAAGCTCCACAAGTGCTCAATTGCTTGTGGAGTCCAACCCTATAAGGCAGAAGCTCTTTGGTAGCAATAATAGTAACAGAGGAAAAGCTCTATCTATATTGATCACATAAAGTAAGCGAATTCCAGATACTGCTTCACAGCTATTTTTGTGGCTGGTGGACCACTGGCCCTACCGTCCATGGGCAAGAAGTTGAATTTGCCAACTCCTTTGAGTATCTTGACTCCAGTGTCACCAAACAGGGCATTTGCCTTGCTGACATGAAGTAAGTTGACAACTAATTATTATCTAAACAAACATCTATCAGGGATGGACTACTCCTGCATAAAGCAGAGAAATATAAATCAGTGCATTTAGGCCTCAGTTGTAAGTCATAAAGAAACATAGGCAGATAAATAGATTGTCCTCTGTTTAGTCAGAGTGCAGCACTTTCTCGTGTGTGTGTGTGTGTGTATATCTTTCACACAGCAACGGGAGAGAGATTAAAAAACAGGAAAAATGTTACTATAAAACATTGGTGATTGAGCTCCAGGGCAGATCCAATACTCAGTTACTTGTTAAACTGCCCAGGTTTCAAGTTTATGGCACCCTTTAAAGGGTGGTAAACCTGATAAATGCATTTCTCATATCTCAAATAGCAGCCTCTGTCAGGTAACGAAATGTTAAATTACAATGCAGAGTCTATGAATTTTGATATTTGCACACATGTGAATAAAGGACTAGATGTCGCAGGCATCTCCCTAGGTCTTACGAGGAAATTTCAGCCAATCGGTGGCTAGATTTAACCTCTGAGTCAACATTCAGGCATTGCCGTGCCCTCTTCCTGGCACTGTCCAAGAGTGCAAACTGCTGCCCTGCACAGTGTTGTGAATAACTCACATAGCCAAACGCTTTATGACTGCATTACTGAGGTGAAATGTCTCCTATGTAAATCAGGCAGTTGTTTACAGGAGAAAGGGTGAGAAATTGTGTTGGATAAGCACCACCTCACACACTGTGCATGGGTGAATAGGTGGCCAATTAAATGAGTGTGGGTGCACCTAAAGGTGGAGCCAGACCTAATTAGAAATAAAGCCCTTCTGTAGGGGAGCACAGCTTTTCCCTCTCTTCCCCTCCACAGTTTGAGGAAGGAGACTCAGAGAACAGAAGGTGGAGAATGTTTGTGCTCAAGGGAGAAGGCTGAAAGAAAGTGGAGATGCAGAGAAAAGCAGACACTTCTCCAAGGGGGTGAGCTAGAACCCTGAATAGAGACAGGTCCTCAGCAGCTATAACCCGAGCTCCTGAGTGAAGAGAAGTGTTTGCCACTCACTGGTTGAGGCACAAAAGTAGAGTAGCAGAGGCACACCTGTGATGAGATGGCTGCCAGCTGAGCCCAGCCAGGACAAAGGTTTGTGGTCAGACTCTAGTAAAAGACATTTTTGCCCTAGAAAGGGCAGGACTCTGCAGTAGTCTGGCCAGAGGGCCAGGATGCTCTTATGGCTGGTGCTGACCATGTGATAGAGGTTGGAAACTGAGGGAAGGGTGCTACACTGCCCCCAACCAACCAAGAGTAGTGTTAGGGCAGCAGCTCTGTCAAGGAGACCCAAGGGTTTTGTCTGCACCTCCCTGCAGAGCTGGTACAAAGGGAAATGGCAAAAAAGAGAGGAAGTGTTTATGCTCCAAAATAGGATTATGAAATTAACTTCCAGGGTTCTTAGTTTATAATCAGTGTGTCCTGATCAGACTTGCTCAGATTCCCAAGTAAAAGAGGTCAGGGTTTTTTTCCCTAGCTGCCAGCCCTGCAAACCCAAGCTGGCCTCTTAACTTCTCATGAATCATCATTGTAACAGAGTGGCTTGCTGCTTCCAGGCCCTGGCTGAGACCCATCAACTCTGTTCATTTAGCTATATCCTGCTGCAGCTGTGACTCAAAAGGAGGAAGAAGCTGCTGGGAGGAGGGGAGGGAGATCTAAGAGAAGGTGACCAACATCTCCTGGAGGGGATGGACTGGCTGAGGCAGGAAAAGTCTCTTGTGTCTCTAGTCCTAAGGATTCCCACAGTAGGGAAGCTGGCCAAAGAGGAGGCACACCCAGCATTTAGACTGGCTGAGGAGGAATGTGGACAGGCTGCTCCATGTGTGGCAGGAAACGGGATTCAGCTAGGAACTGTCTGAAGGCTACAGCTTGGCAGAGATCCTTGGGAGGAGGCTAGGGCTGCCTTTGATGCCTGGGTCGACTGGAACCCCTGGGTTGAGCCATTGCTGCCAGGACCCTGCCTGTAAGAAAGGAGGCCGAAGGCTGAGCCTGGTGGAGCTGAGGACACTTGTTTTGATATTGTTTTTGAACTTGGGCTAAAATTACTCTGTTACCCTGAGCGGGGTTGAAGGCTTAAGTAGCTCAGCCAGACCTCAGGTGTCGGGGTTTGTTTGTTTGTTTGTTGGACAGTCCAGTTGAAGGGGCCCTGGGCAGTGCCTGGTAAGTATTGTGACTGGACACCTGCCGCCTGGTTACCATGGTAACTGCAATGGGTCTCGGGGGGGGGGGGGGGGGGCGTGTGCGGGGGGAGCGGCCCGGAGGAACTGGCTGCCAGCGCCAGAGGAGAGGTGGGTACCGGGGAGCCTGGCGGGGCATGGCACATGCCCCTCCCCATGCACCAGGCCCGAGCTGCCGCCTCGGCCTCAGTGGGACTAGGCCACAGAACTGGGAGCCTTTCTATTTAAGGGGGAAGTGGTGGGTGTGCTAGGATACGAGAGGGGGATCCCTGTTCAGGGGGGAAGTGATAAGAGGCCTGGGGGTCCCTATTCAGGGGGAAGGAAGGGGGGCAGCTCTCCCTGACTGGAAAGCTGGGGGTCCATGTCCAGGGAGAAGCAAGGGGGGCCAGGCTGTCCCTGATGGGGAGAGGGGGGCAGGGTCTCCCTTGGGGGGCTGCGGGGTCCCTGGCTGGGAGGCTGAGGCAGAGCGGCTGCAGGGGGGTTTTCCAGGCTGCTTAGCCTGTGACAATTGCTGTTAATTGTGGTGTGTTTGAAAATGGTGCTGGCATTGCAAGCAGTCCCATCAAGCTTTAAGGCAGGGGTGGGGAACCTCTTTGGAGTCATGGGGCTGCTGACCCGCAGAAAAATCAGTCAGGCTTGCACACAAGTGAGAAGCAAAAAAAAAAAAACCCCACCTCACTGACATGGCCCCTAAATTCCACTCACACACCAGAGCCTAGGGGGATCCCAGGGTAGTTGGAATTGTGTGCTCCAGCCCCACAACGTGGTAGTAGAACTTAAGCATCAGCATGGGCTCCCCAGTGCTGCGGAGGGGAGCCCTGAACCCTGGGGGGGGGGGGCTGGATTCAGAGAAGCCAGGGACCATATCCAGCCCCCAGGCATTAGGCTCCCCATCCCTGCTTTAAGGGATACCCTAGTCCTGTATGGAGGCTAGGGGACTTCCCTTAGGGAAATGTGCAGTCTGTGTCATCGGCAAAAGAGCTAGCTTGGAGCAAGGTGAGTTGAGATGTGTCCCTTTGCCAGAGGCCATGTCTTCACTACAAACTGATACAGTTATACTGACCTAACTGCAGTGTACACAGTGCTGAGTTAACGGGAGAGCGTTTCCCATTGACATGGCTACTGGTTCTTGCGGAGAAAGATTAAATATGCCGCCAGGAAAAGCTCTCCTGTTGGTGTAGCAGTGGCTTCACTGTAGTGGTACAGGTGTAGCGCTTTCAAAATGGACCTGTATTTAGCTAGCAGCCTATTCTGTGTGTCTCTGTGCTTGGTGGTTGTGTGTGTTAGGGCTCTAAACTCTTACAGAGTTTCAAATTCAACCTTTCACAGTGAAAAGTTACTTTACTAAATCTGTATATGATGTAAAAGTAACATTAGTAAAAATCCTGTAGGGTAAGTTACATCCTCAGTAATACCAGTTCAATCCCATTGTCTTCCCTTTTAATTCCTCGCTACATACAGGGCACACTCTTGTTGTCAAAACCGAGACTGCAAACACTCCATCATGTATGAAGGCTCCGAGTTCTGTCAGTAATATGGTAGCTGCTGAAAGCAGCAAACTGCAAATACACTCTACTGAGGCTTTGGCATTGTGAGAGTCGCACCAGTCAGCCTCTATGAGGATGCTCTTGCTGCAGTTCAAGCGAGGCTTATTCTGGTTTAGTGTAAGCCAGTACCTTATTGAATGACCAGTGTGTCTAGGATGTGTTTTGAGTCCTGAACATTCGCAGACTGAGCTGGCATCACATTCTGTTAATAATAGTGTTTGGAGCTGGCCCAGCTCTCCTGCCAAAGCTGACTCCTTTGTGCTCACTCCTCATAATGGAAAAAATGCTCCTGATGAGTTGTGCTCCTGTTGAGTTGAGTCTATGCAGCACTTATTTTGAAATAAATCGCTATTCCAAAATGTTTCTTACTCCTCATGGAATGAGGTTTACAGGGACATCAGAGCTCATTATATTTCAAAATAACAGGCCCACTCAAAAATGTGGAATAGCTATTTTGGGATACCAGAGGTATCCCGAAGTAGTGCTGTAGTGTAGACATAGCCTTCTAGTCCTATGATTCAATGAAACTTTTGGTACCATAAAATTAATCAACAGACTAGAACAATTAGGGTTTTTTTCCAAATGCTTTTTTTATTCTTAACAACTGAAGTTTCTGAAGTATCTGTGGTTCATAAATGTTGAGTGTTTTTTAAAACAGCATTCTAAACCATATGTCAGTGTCTGGTCAGAGAAGCAAAGTACAAGAGAACTTTCACAGACTAATTTCATCTTTCTCCATTGGTGACCCTAAGTAGAAAGAGAAACCAAAAGAATGACTTGATAAAACTAAAATGTACGTCTAAACCACCAGTAGTAAGTTGTTCAGTGCTGCTGATGATAAAGGAGTAATTAGGAAACCACTTCTGAATCTGGGAAGCAAAATTTGGCACACTCTTTGTAAGAGGTAAAACCAAGTATATAAGGGAAAAGGATCGTCTTTTCATTTTCTGCTTGTACTGGACAGTGTTTCTTAACCTTTTTTGCTCATGGGCCCCCTTCTGAGCCTCGTTTACCTCTGTGGCCCCCCTCATAGCTGCTGTTAGTTGGAAAAAGTACGTAATTTACCTAATGTTCCGGTTTTTCCATGTGGCCCCCTAGAGGTAGGGCGTGGCCCCTAGGGAGCCATATGGCCCACAGTTGAGAACCACTGCCCTAGAGCAATGTCATGGCCCATTACTAGAGCTCCTGGCAGTCCAGCTGACCGGGGAGAGGAGTAATAGAGACAGTCACCCTAGGGACCTGGAGTCCTTAGCCCTTTAAATTGTTGCCAGAGCGCCAAATGCTCTGGGCAGCGCTAAGGTCTGAAGAGGGGTGCTGTGTTCTGGGTGGCACTGCAGGACTGCCTCGCTCAGCGCTAGCTGGCCCAAGCCCCACCCCTTCTGTCTCTGCCTGAGGCCCCTCCCCTTCTGGTAGAGTAAAGCTTCCCCTCCCTCGCTCCCACACACACACTTTGCCCAGGTGCCTGTGGAGGCTGTTGGTGCCCCCTGGCTCCTTTGCACAATAGCAACACAAATAATAACAAGAAAGAAATCTGGCATTTTAAATTGAGCATATTTGTTCATATCTGTTAAATGAACAGAGCTCCCAATATATAAATCCTGTTGTTGTTACCTGAAATGCTTTAGACTCCCACAATTTCTAACATGGTTTTCACTTCGTCTATCAGTTTTGCACCCTGGAAAAAGATTACAAATATTTGCAAAAGAAAATCACAGCAAGCAAATTGCATAGTACAGAAAGCTTTCATAATCTAAACATCATGGTCTGTGTTACACATAGGGTTGCCAGACAGTTTTGACAAAAATACTGGACACACTTGACATTACATCACAGTCTACATGATCTCTTATTTAGAAAATACCGGACATTTCTATTTTCTCATTTCTATTTTCTCAATTTGTTTTCCAACAGAAAGCTCAAATACTGGACTGTCTGGTTCAGAACCGGACACCTGGCAACCCTAGTTACACAGGAGGTTTGCTGAGATGGTCTTGTTGCTGGATGGCTTGAAGGGCTGGAAGACTTGTAGCCAACCAGCCCTGGTCACTAAGCAGCTAGGCTGTGCAGAGATTTGCTACAGAAGTTCATACTTCATTCTGCAAGTTCATAGTCATAAAATCTGTTTATATAGAAGTTTATTTCCAAAAGAATAATCTCCTCTGTGCTTGTAATCATGCATTTTTAATGTGCCCACCAGTTTGGTATCTGAGTGATTAGTGAAAAGTAAAACCCATAATTAGTCTAAAATACCCCATTTCTGTGTGTTCAATGATATGTTCATAAGGCTATATTAAATATATGGAAGATAATATAAGTAGTTTTGGATAAGTCATTATTAAAATTGGACGGGGACAATTCTAAAAGGAGGTTATGTGTCATGAGACCCAACTGAGTAATGCATAATATTAGACAGTTGTAAATACTTTTTCTCTGAGTTGTCTGTGAGCCTTAAATTAGTTTTCTGGCTTCTGTGAATAATTCTTAGTAGGTTGCTCCAGAGTGGCTTTTTCCAAATATTTCACTTTTGAATTTTGAAATCTAAAATGTGTCTTGTGACCAGTCAAAACATTGCACATTCATCTCCTGACTGAATGAGCATAAAGCTTAAAACTTGCAGAAGTTGCTTTCTGACACTATTCTCCAGTGTCTGCTAAAGATGAGTGACTGAATATTCAGCAAAAGCAAAGGGGGCTGGAGGAGTTAATCAAAGTAAACTTGTTTAAAAATTGGAATAAATATCCACAGAACATAATTTGCCCAGCTCTTTCTCTTTCTATGTTATTCAAACCTTTCTGGGCTGAATTATATAGATGCAGTATTCATCCATAATCCCTACATTTCCAATTTTGGGTGTTCTTAGAAGAATCTTTAGCACAAAAGGAAAATATTGGATGCAACCTTAAGAAGATTTAAATAATCTCTGTACATGCAGCTGCAGCAATAAACACACACAGAGAGACACCCCCGTCCGTCCGTCCCCTCCCCCCCACACACACACATTATTTTATATATATAACAAATAAAATACAGACCTGCTGATGTGCTGGGGTGGGGCATTTGCCCCTCAGCCTGACAACTCAAAAGGGCATGGGGCTCCTGGCAGCACCAGACGGCATGCTCCAGGAGGCTCTAAGGCCTGCCTGGGATGGGAGGCGCAAAGTGCTAATGGTGGCACTGAGGGCCGGCCCCGCTCATTCCACCCACTGCCTCCTCCCTCCCAGGAGCACAGAGCAGGACCCCCCGTTTCTTTACCCTGAGGCCCAGCAATTTTGTCAACCGTGTATTTGTATCATGTAAACAATGATTGCTTCTGCATCTATAGCCATTCTGGGTTGCTGCCCATTTAATTAAAATGTGGATATAAGTGCAGAATATCAATGCCTTTAATTCAAAATAAGTCCTTGATACATGAAAATAGCGAGATACCTCTGTGGCAAAGCATGTCTCATGTGGTACTTCTTTGCAGCACTTTTGTACCATGTCAGTAAAATCTGTGATGACTTTCTGTAGTTGTTCATCTGCTGCAGTGGTCTTCAGTTTAATGAGATTGACCAGCATTCTGAAAGAACACAAAATGCAACAATGTAAAATGAATACTTCTTATTGAGACTTGATTATCAGTTTGTAATGCCCTATGGAGGTCCATGGCCTGTTTGTGGCTTTCCAATATACTCCATAGGGGCCTGATCTGATGTCCAGTGAAGTTGATGGGAGTTTTTTCCCATTGATTCCAGTGGACTTTGGATCAAACCCTAAATGTGGAATATAACAATATACATACTAAACATTAAATAGCCACCACCTGTGCTTCTCCATTCCATTTATAACTCTAGCCTCATGATACTGCTCATCCACTGTTCCCACAACTGCTTTCACCCCTTCTGCAACATTGCCCATATGCCAGGAAAAGATTTCTTTTTGCAAAGATTGGCAAAGCCAGTGTCCAAGTCCCTCCTTAAACCATTCTGGCAGGGTTGGATCTTATGTCAGGGGTGGGCAATAATTTTTGCTACAGTTGAATGGCTACAGTTGTGAAAACAATAGCTTCCAAGTCCCAGATAGATAGACAATTCATCGGGTGCATTGAAGACTTGCTAGTAAAATGCTACTATGGCGCTATAGAAGTGAGTGATTCCTCACACTGTATGGAAAATGTAGAAACAAAGTGTGGGTGATCCAATAACTTTTATTTGACAAACTTCTGTTTGAGAGAGTCAAGTTTTTGAGCCACACAGAGCTCTCCTTTAGGACTAGGAATCCTGTTCCACCTTGAATTGTATGTGATGCTCGGAACAGATTGTTTACCACAAGCAGTTAAGATGTGTGCATGGATTATTCCAGGTAGAGTGGCCCATTAACACCTTGGCAGTCATAGGACAAAAAGAGGGTATTTCGGGTTACAGATTCTTGTAAAAATCCATAAATCTCAGTGGCTTCATTTTGTCCATAACTTTTAGTGTCTAGCAGAGTGATAAATTCAAGTACTCAGGCAAATCTTGTTAAAATGTATGTAGGTTTCCTTTGAGGATGAGGACTGAGAGGTCCGATAAGGGGTAAACACTTTGTGATAAAAGTTCACCCACAGACGATAGGGTGTTTCTGATTTTTTTGTTTTTATCATTTTCCTATGCTAGCTCATTTGAAAGTATAGTGATTATACCTTAAATTTGGCTGTGATTCTGGGAGTACCTATCCCCTACCTGAAGAAGAGCCCTGTGTGCTCCAAAAACCTGTTTCTCTCACCAGTAAAAGAACGATATTCTCTTCCCTACCATGCTTCTCTAATATCCTGACACTAACATGGCTTTGACAATTTTCCACGTGCAGTGTTATGTGAAGCTGAGCCTCTCCTTCATCTTAAATGAAGTTCTGATAATCTGCTGTGAAGTAGCAAACATACAACTTACGTTAGCTTTTTCATTCTCTGCGTTTCAACAGGGGCAGTGCATAAATCTTCATGGAAGGTGAACATTGCAGGCTCAAATTTAGTGGAATTGTAGCTTTCATCCGCTCCCAACTTGGTAAAACATGGTCTTCTGTTTTCATAGGCGTCATTACAGCAGTGTGCAACTTTTTCATTTACAGGTGTAGCTTCCTGCCTCTGACACATATCCTGAATCACCATGCCCAGCTGAACAAAGAGGGAAAGCAACGAAGTAAGGTTTGTAGCACTTTTAGTGCCAATGTTAATAAAAACAATGCATGTTCCTTATATCACAATATGATAGCAGGGGAGCTGGCAGCTTTCACTTGTTAAGCAGAGAACCAATGAAAACAGAGAATGAAAACATGCAATCATCCTAGAACTTGTCAGACTTAGACAAGTGACTGTCACTAATACAAGTTGCCTTTTCTAAAGAAAGCACCATGGATTTTATTCAAACCCTCAACATTTCATACAGTCAGTGATCAGGAAAGGATTTATAACTGGCATTTCTGAGCCTACCATTGAAGGCAGCCAACTTCCAGAAAAGTGATGTAATTCCTTATGCTCTAATGTATCAATGGCATCTTCTTCAGCAGACTTAAACTAGTCATAAAACTGTCCATGTTCATTCACATTAGGTGCTTTCTGCTATTTTCACAAATGACATCACTTCCCAGGAAGATGCACCTACTTCCAGACCTAGACCTTTGCCCAGAAATGCTAAAAATCTTTAAACTGCCTTTAAATACAACCTAGTTCATGATGTCTTTATGGTGACCAGCATTGAGGAAGCTCATCTCCATTGCAAATGGGGTTCATTTCTAACTATGTATTTGGAAACCTAACTTTAGGCTGCTATTTAGAAAAAGAATATATTGGTCACAGAGAGAGACCATACTTTGTATTTCCTCCTTAACAAGCTGTTGCACCTTCATGAACAAAATTGATACTGTCTCTGAATTTGGGCAGAATACACAGAGACAGGGCTATTGATGGGGAGATAAAGGCAGCTGTCCTGGGGCCCAGAAATTTAAAAGGGCCTGGGGCTCCTGTAGGCTACCGCTGCTATTGCAGCAGCAGCTGAAGCCTTGGACCCTTTAAATCACTGCTGAGAAGTAAAGGTACAATAAACAGAAACATAACGAAAGCTAAGATAAAGAAATATATTTACCCGTCTTTCTATACAAGATATGTGTTTAACTTCAGGTTCCTGGCAGCATTTGCTGCCAATATCTGCCATTTCCTTTGAGACTTCAATCAATGTTTCAGTTGATGCCTGAGGCATTTTCCGAGTGTAGCGGATGACAAGTCTGAAATAACAATATTTCATTGAATAAAAAAATCGAATAAAAAGTTCAACTATGAAGAAACTTTTTAAAAAATCACTTAGGGCTGTTCGCTAAAGTACAAACTGAACTGTCCAAAGCTAAACCAATCTTTTGCATCCTCACCCATAGTAACAAGCAGCAGTGAGTCTAACAGGGACTGCAGAAGCCTACCTTCCTGTTCAGACCATAACTTCAAAATACTCTTATTCTGAATTGGAATAATGGCATCTTCTGCAATGCCAAAGGAACAAATGCTAATGGTTAAGTTGTACTCTTGTCTTATTCATTCGGGTCTGAAGAATTTCACCTTTACAAAACCCTGAATGTTCATTACATAAACAAGAAGACACTCCAAACAAACATACAATTTTAGGAATTCAGCTTCTCCCGAGCTGGCCAGGAAATCACAGTTTTTCTTTACTAGGTCTTGAGTCTCCTGGATATAACTCTTGAGTTTCTCTTCCTGCAAGTAAGTATAATCATTGTTAAAGGCAAGCGTATCTATTTAAGGCTCTCATTAGAGCAGACACCCAATTCACAGAAAAGCTTCTATCTATTCAATTTAGATCCTGTCTAATCATAAGTATTCTATCCTATTTCTGAGGTACATGGATGGACCTCATCACCAGAGTGTCTGAGATGCTTGCAGTCTTGTCTTTGTCCTCTCAACACAGCTGTGCACAGCAGTGACACATAGTGGGGATATGAGGGGGGCACATGCCCCAAGACCATGGGCAGGAGCAGCAAGGGTCCAACCAGTAGCAAGCAGGGCAAATACTGGAGGGGCTTAGTGCCTGAAGAAGAGGTCGTCCCGCCCCCAGCACTCACCAGCACTGTCAGGGGAAGCAGAGCCACATGGCCCCAGCTGGCTCTGCTCTCCCAGTGCGTTGCTCTGAGGTGGGGTGAGACCACCCCTATGCTCACTAGCAGGAAGCAACACAACACAGCTGGAGGGACAGAGCAAGCTGGAGCAGGGTTGTTCTGCTTCTCTTGCTGCTACTGGTGAGTGGGAGATGGAAGGGCTGGACCCCTGTTGCCAGCACTGGCCCCCAAACCCCACTCGTCCCCTGGGCTACTGTGGTTGGTGGAAAAGGTGGAGTGAGGGCAGGGATGAGCAGGGGAGAGGGCAGTGCAGGAGCAGGTGCAGGGTCTGGAGCAGAGCAGGGGCAGGGAGAAGCAGGGCCTGAAGAAGAGGGGGCTTATTCTGGCCCTTCCCTGGGCTCAGTGGGCTCACTTGGCTGGTGCCCCCCCGCCCCATGTCTCCTCTCACCAGTCACCACTGGCTTTGAGTTATGAAAATATTCCCAGTATACAGGGAACTGAGTCAGACAGCCTAACTGCCTTGCCCAAGGGCAGGTACAAGTCTGTGGCAGACTAGCAAACTGAATCTGACATCCTGACTGTCTATTGCCCTAACCACTCTATGGCTACATCTAGACTGCACACCTTTTTCGAAAGAGGCTTTGTCGACAGATACTGTTGACAAAGCCTCTGTTGAAAAAGAGCATCTAGACTACAATCAGTTCTGTCAAAAAAGCAAGCTGCTTTTTCGAAAGCGTATAGTCACTCTCTTTTGAAAAAGCAATTTGCATGCAATAGTGCCTTTTTTGAAAGAGTACTTTCAAAAAAAAGGAGTTATTCCTCGTAAAATGAGGTTTACCACCATTGACGAAACTGCTGCATTCTGTTGACTTACTGTCAACAGAACGCAGCGGTAGTGTAGACGCAGGTATAGTTTTGTCGACAAAAGACAACGTTTGTCGACAAAATCCTGTAGTCTAGACATGCACTATCATCCTCCTTCCTCAGAATGCTCTTTTTTGTAGGAATTTGTTCATTATTCAAAACTACTCCAAGAAGTCCATAACTCTGTGACTGTCCATTGAGACAGTTTACATAAAATGTCTATGAATATTCTTGTGAACATATTTTTTTCTCTCACAGGTGTTTGTGAAAAGTGAACAGAGTTCACCAGTGTTATAGATGTAAACTGGAGGGATTTAGAAGGGAAAAGTGTTTGTGCACAGCTTTAGTTTTAGTGCACTTTTATCCAGGTTTGCAAAATCATCTTTCATTTTGTATTCATGGTCATAGACACAACTTTTAATGATCCAAGACAAGAGAATATTATAATTTATCTTTGATGTCCTGCCTATAACCAGTATAGAGTTTCACCTAATCATTCCTGCACTGAGGGTAGCAACTTGTTACTGAACTAGAAAGACATCCAATCTTGTTTAAAAGGTTCCAAGTAATTAGCAATCTATTACCCAAGGTTGTGTGATGTTGCATCTTATGTTTTTTATGGAAATATGCTTATGAATAGGAATATTACATATGTGTCCTAAGAAATAATTTATGTAACATTTAAAAATCTCTAATCTTCCGAATGTGTATATTCCATTTGTGTGTATGCATCATTCCTGAATTGGAAATTAAAAATATGAAGTATAAACCTGTTTACAAATCTAGAGCCATTAGTAGTACTCAAGGGGCTTAATGGCCCAGTACTTGGGACAATGATCTATTAATAGTCTTACTTCTCCTGTAAGCCTGGACTATGCTTGGTCCCGCCAAGACATGTCGCCAGGTCACCTGATGCTGGAACGCATTTTGGATGCTGTACTTTGCCTCTGGAAGTGTGAAAAATTTGAATTGTACACACAGGACTCCCCCTTTTAGCAACAGGAATATAGAAGTGGGAAATCAAACAATGGGCTGCAGCCAGATTCCAGGAAATCCCAATTTACAATCTAAGATGTCTGCTGCAACTACCTAGAGCTGACCATTAAGAAGTATCATGCACAAGTTGGGAGGTAAATTTGTGCAAATCTTTCATTGATAAAGGGGACAAATCTTTCATGAGCTTGCTCTGTAAAAACTTTATGAAAAGTAAGACAGAATTATCTGGGGTGCTGGTCCCACTAGGGCTGTGTACCTGTGTGCTGTTGTAACCCACACACCTCCTGGATGACCTGCACTGTCCAATCTAGTGGCACTGAGACCACTGACTGAGATAATGGGTCTGCTCTACAGCCTTAGCTAGTAGCTAGCTGGTTTTGAGCTCATGCGGTAGAGGCTCATGCACTAAGCTCCAGAGGTCCCAGGTTTGATTCTGTCAGCATTACACTGTGGTTATGTCTAGACCCTACATTATTTTCAAAAGAGGGTATGTAAATTTCATGGGAATTTGCATATCTTCCTCCAATCTCACTTTCAGAAGCGGGTCTTTTGAAAGTGAAAATAGTCTGGATGCATTTTTGTTGTTTTTTTTTTTTTTTTCAGGAAAAAAACCCTTTTTCAAAAAATGGCTCATCCTTTAAAAATGAGGTTTACGCAGTTTTTTTAAAGGTTTTTTTTTCCCCCTGAAAAAAACGCATCCACACTACTTTCACTTTCAAAAGACCCACTTTCAAAAGTGAGATTGGAAGAAGATATGCAAATTCCTGTGGAATTTGCATATCTTCTTTTGAAAATAACACGTAGTTTAGATGTACCCTGTATCTTGACTGAGCCTTCCCAGAGTTGAGCTGATCTCAGTGTCTCTGTGTCTGATGTGAACTGTAACCCTAATTCAGTGCCATCGCTGGAGCAAATTGCTTAACTGCATCTTCCAGAACAGGGTAGGGGAGTGCTCCAGAGGGTAGGTAGGCAGGCTCAGTGGTATTTCAGCTTGTTAACTTACAGTTTCAAGGGGATCTCTGATCAAAACCATCACATTAAGTTCTTCCAATCACAAATTATTCTCATTTCAAAAATCACAACTTATTTTCAATTGAAATTGTTCTAGCTTCATCTTCTAGCAATTGGATCTGGTAGCACTGTACAAGTTGCATAAGCTCATTTTCATCTTCTGACAAATGCATTTGCATTCTGTCTAGTTAAATTGTCTCACTGAATGGTAAGCTCTTTGGGAGAGGGACGGTTTGAATACATTTGTAGAAGGCCTGGTACAATGTGGCCCTGATCCTCACCGAGGCCATACCCAGTGCTGTCATTATTTATATTATGGTAGAATAGGATTTTGAAACTGAATTTAAATCCATCCATTTAGGTTTTGGAAAAACAAAATTAGTTGTTTTTTTTTCTCTTTATTAAACCTGTTTAGTGACAATAAAGGGCTTTTAGCTTTGGAAATTGTTCAGTGGCTAAAAGGAACAACAGAAGTTAGAGGCAACAAATGCTGTTCCACTAACTTGCTTTAACCCTTGATTTGAGGGACCATCTCTAGAATGATGGATTAATCCATTCTCCTGGTTTGCTGAATCTTTAGCCCCTCTGCAGAAGTAACACACAAGATGGTTCTGCAAAAGCGGCGAGGAGTCCTGTGGCACCTTATAGACTAACTGAAGTGTTGGAGCATAAGCTTTCGTGGGCAAAGACCCACTTCGTCAGATGCAAGTAGTCAAGTATCAGAGGGGTAGCCGTGTTAATGAAGTGGGTCTTTGCCCACGAAAGCTTATGCTCCTACACTTCAGTTAGTCTATAAGGTGCCACAGGACTCCTCGCCGCTTTTGCAGATTCAGACTAACATGGCTACCCCTCTGATACTTGACACCATGCAAGATGGTTCTGTGAGGCTGCTTTTTCAATATGTATACATGTCCATTAGGAACTTCACCTAATGATCTCAATCATTTTACATGCACTCGGGGTGCCTTATGGAGTTACTCCTATTGTTTGTTCATTTCGGTAAACCATAGGTCCTTGTTTTTAATGACAAACACATTCATGCTACATCCTCTCTGCGAATCTCAACTAATCCCCTTTTCTAATTCCCAATAAATCCCTAACTATTGAAATCCCATCCAAATACCTTTGGTCACAATCATCTCCTGAGAGTTCATCACCAAAACATTCTTAATAGTAAAAATAATATGTATGACTGAACAGTAGAACTTACTGCGTGACTGTAACATTCAGCAGCATTCTCTTTTTTGCAGCACTCTTCCAGGATGGATTGGAATCCATCAGTAATCCGCAAAAGCATGAGAGAAGAGAACTCGCGGTGCCTTCTTGAATAGTCATAAAGAAATCTGTAACATAAAAACTGCAACGTTAGAAGTTTAAGAATATAGTAGCTACAGATTCTCTGTCATACCTAGTAATTAGCACTTCGTTAATCAGTGGTGATTACTCAGACTTAGTCAAAGAGATTTGAGTTGTCTTCTCAGTAGACTCCTTTTGCCACTGTAGCCTTTTCTTCAACCAGTTTTTGGTGACGTGTAAGTGTTCCAGGACAGCGTTCATAGAGCATAACTTTCTAAGGCATTAAATCATCTAGAGAAGTGGCCACACTCTAATAACCACTGAAAAAGAAATATAGTTTCTATGATAGAAGCATAGCTTCCAGAGTATTGCAGGCCTTAAGTGCCTAGATAGATGGTAAAAGCTGGTGTGTAGAACATTAGGCCTTGTTCTTTTAGACATTTAGAGCCCAGAGTGTGGTGTCACTTAGGGCTCGTCTACACTGGCCCCTTTTCCGGAAGGGGCATGTAAATTTCACCTATCGTAGTAGGGAAATCCGCGGGGGATTTAAATATCCCCCGCGGCATTTAAATAAAAATGTCCGCCGCTTTTTTCCGGCTTTTAAAAAAGCCGGAAAAGAGCGTCTAGACTGGCCCCGATCCTCCGGAAAAAGCGCCCTTTTCCGGAGGGTCTTATTCCTACTTCAAAGTACTACTGTGTCGGAAAAAAGCGGCGGACATTTTTATTTAAATGCCGCGGGGGATATTTAAATCCCCCGCGGATTTCCCTACTACGATAGGTGAAATTTACATGCCCCTTCCGGAAAAGGGGCCAGTGTAGACGTAGCCTTAGGGTATGTCTACACAGCAAAGTTATTTCAAAATAACAGCCATTATTTCGAAATAACGTTACTAGCCAAACTGCTATTTCGAAGTTAATTTGAAATAGCGGGGCGCTTATTTCAAATTTGGTAAACCTCATTCCATGAGGAATAATGCCATATTCGAAATAGCTATTTCAAAATAAGTGCTGTATAGACACTTATATCGAAATAGGAGGCCTCCAGCCTTCACAGGGTGCCCTAATGGCCACTCCAGCATCAACCAAGAACACTCCTCTTCCTTCCCCCCTCCACGGAGCCCTTAAAGGGGTTGACTCTGGCCCCAGTGCCTGTGCCAACTCCAAGCCTGCCAGCACAGAGCCAGCAGTCACTGCCCTTGATCCAGTGGCCTCAAAACATGAGCCAGCAAGCCACTGGCAGCCAGCCCTCCACCGCTCTCCAGTAACAGTCTGCCAGCTCGCCGGA